AAAATAAAATAAAATAAAAATGATATTCCTAAAGTAACTATCACTTTCCCAAGAAAAACAAACAAAATCTTAGAAACTCAGTCACCCCAGTTTCTGTTTTGAAACCCTATCACCTAACACTGTATTCCACGTGACTGTGGAAGGGTCTTTGGGATCTACCAGGATTTAAGCACTCTTGCCGGGGTCACAGTCTCAGCGCACTGCACAGTCTCTGCTTCTAGTCCTCCCTGCACCAACCCATCCGCCCCTTCTGGGCGTAAGTACCACAGAACTGAAAGCAGGGAGAGCGACAGGCATTGCATTTGCTAATCAGTGCTCAGGAAAGCATCACCCACAACAGCCAAAAGGTAAAAACCACCCAAATGTATCGAAAGATGAGTAAACAAAATGTGGTCATATACATACAATGGACATTATTCACCCTAAACACAAAGAGAATTCTGATATATGCCACAACAGCGATGAACCTTAAAGACATTGTGCTGTGTAAAATAAGATACACCAACAGATACTGTATGATGCAATCTATGTACGGTACCTGGAATTAGCAAACTGACAGAAAGTAGAAAAACATTTGAGGGGCTGGAAGGAGCAACAGAGAATTACTGCTTAATATAGTCTTAAGTTTGGGATGATGGAAAGTTTAGAGGTGGAGAGTGGCAGGGCTTGTAAAACAATGAACATTAAGTTGCAAAAGACATGATCCATCTTTAAATACTCTCTAATCATACACTATAAGCATATTAATATTTACAGACTACCCACAACTGAATTCACGGAATACATTAAATCAAAAGTACATGCCCATATCATCAAAATGGCTTTATTTTTGTTACCGACACACACATGACACTGTGATTCTGTTGTTTTGTTTGGTTTCTTAAATATTACTTAAGTGTCCATTAAAAATATATGTTTACATTTAACAAATGAGATACATTAAAGTCCTCTGTAAACAATTCTTTTTCAATATATTTTCCTACTTTGTTTCATACATAAATAACTTAATCTACAAAATCATAAATAAAACCATCAATTCTTAAGGCCCAGAAATACACACAAAATTTGGGGTATGAGGAAAGGGCTCTGAAATATATGTATGAGTACCAGGCAGTATTTACCATATTTATTATAAGTCAAATACTGCTCACAAGTGCTCACTGTCTTCATACTTGTTCTCCCAAAACCACTTTTCCGTTTAGTCAGTACAGACACCGTACATTTGCAAAGTCAAAGTAGTCAAAAGCCAACACTTTTTTTTAAATGTCAGAGAAGCTGGCTATTTAAATACTGCCACATCTTATTAGAATCATACAGGTGTCTGAACAAAAAGAAATGCAGTGAATTCCTGTACCATCATTTAAATGGCATCTAAAAAAACTTAAAATTTAAGAAACAGTAAAATCTGATTAAATCTTATTAGCTTTGCAAAAAAAATTCACTGAGATTGTTATAGGAACAGAACCAATTCTATCCTAAATTTTCTAAAATTTCTTCTCGAATCATCACTTTGATGAGTTAAAACTTGAAGGATAAAAATGAAGATAAATAAGGATTTTAGAAATCCATACTTATAATTCCTGATTCACATTTAATTGGTTTTAATGACTGAAAATGTTTACTTCTTCAGAAAATATAGTATTCGTTAGTTTTTATGAATAAGGAAGGGAAGAGGGCTAAAGGGAGGGGAGGGGAAGAGGGGGAAAAAGCAAGATTATATCATGTACAGGCATAAACTGATTATGTGTATCTACAATATACCCCCCAAAAAAATACATATAATATTTGTTGAAACATACCACCTGATTTATTAAATAACCACTCAGGATTATTAAGTAAGCATTCCAATTACTTTTATGTAATAAAAGTAAAAAGGAATTTTGCATGTTGGCTCCATTTCATTTTATAAATGATTTTACAGGCCTTTATAGAATAGAAAACTTAGAAAAAAATTCTCAATATTCCTATTAGATTTAAATGGTTTAAACTAAAAATAACACTATGCTAAGCACTGTCAGTACTTTTAAAATGTTCAAGTTTCTAGAAGTTTTATTTTTTAATCAATACAAAAATGATTGGCTTACACTATTAACTGCCCAAAACTTTTAAAAAACTAAATGTTCTTTGTTAACGAACAGATTATAAGAAATGTTTTCTATGTTTTTATTTTGAAAACAAGATTCTGGTATACATAAAAAATATAAATCAAAATTCACAAATCGTGGCTGAAATCCTGTCAACTTTCAGCCAATACAGCATAAATCCACACTTGTTATGCATAAACAATTCAAAATTAAAGTTTATAATGGAAATGTCAACAAGTCGTAACTACTGCACATCCCTGCTGATGGGTTCCACAATACTTCAACCAGGCACAGCAGATGTGCACAGCTGCCAGACAGACTGCTTAGAAAATTAAAGCTATCAGAGCTATAAATAAGGAATGCACAACTATGAATATAGCAACGCCAAAGCATCAGGGCCATTTAAAAAAAATGAGTAAATGCGATATAAACACATCTGACACTTCTCTCTGTAAGCCACTTTCCATTGACTTATAAAGCTATGGTTTTATAATTCTTTTTAAAAGGAAAATTTTGTCTACACTGCTGCATGCAGTAATTTTACTGTGCATTCTTGACTACAATGCAATCTTCAAATCCTCTTGCAGAGCTTGACATATCTCATCAAGAATTCTCCAGAAATTCAGCTTGTCGTATTTTCAGCAGCCTAGAACATGAAAGTAAGACTCATTATTAAAAAAAACTATGGAAAAAGAGACATCAGGGAGATAAATTTAGTCAATACTACACTGTATTTAATAAAGAATTATTCCTCCCATCTAACTCAGCTACTTTTATCCGGATTAATACAGTGGTCTTCATTTTTGCTGTATATCAGGACTACCTTGTGAACTTGTGATATTGGGAACTTAATACTAGGCTAAGGTAGAAAACAGTTGTATCATCTTAAATATAGCTAAAAAAATATGTAAAAGTGTATTCCCATTACAAAATTAAAGTATGACACAGCTTGGTCCCATAGCCTTCATTAGTTTGTTCCCTATGTTTTATTCTACTGCAAAAAGGGAAGTAGAAATGAAAAAAAACCTTCTACAAACTGGAGAAAACAAGAGCAAAATAGGGTAATAAACATCTGGCTAATCCCGTTTCATCTGTAACACCAAATAGTACACATTCCCAGATGACTCTAAAGAAATTCCCAGACATCTTATCATTCATCACTAAATGACTTGCCATGTATTTCTAGAATGACTTAAAAAAAACTATTCACACCTAAAAACTAACATCTTAATGCCATATAGACATGATAAACATAATTCACAATACTATGAATCTGTGAAAGTGAAAGGCAAAATAATAAAATGTTGTTGTTATTTTCTATAGTTAACTAAGGAGCACAAGAAAACATGTCTCAAATCAACAGTTCCTAGCAACATTTCAAGATGTTCCTCATTTATGTTTTACACATTCTAAAACAGACACAAATACCAAAAATTATCTAAATACTAGGAATTCTAGATTAAAACAGTAGAATGCAGCAGAAAGTTTTTAAATCCTAACTTTAATACCAAAAGAAATAAACATAAAATATGAGAAAAATTCATTGACAGCAGTGATATGCGGAAGAACCAGGACGCTTGAGTCTGTAAAGAGGTCGTCAGGGAAAGTCAAGGCTGGCTGGCACAGTGCTGAGCCAACCAGCTGCCCGTCCACCCCAACAGCAGCAGTTACGAGAGGACAGCATGTAATCCAGGGAGAACCAAACTGACAGAGTACTATTTCACAGTTCAGTGAAAGTAAGTATATTTTTATTTTTAAAGCAGTATTTGACTATTTGGAATGGTGTTCATCAAATATTATCACCAGTCATCTCTTGTGATCCTGAATGATTTTTTTGGTTCTCTTTTTTTTACTTTTCTGATTTAAGTATTTTTAAATCATAAGCATGCATGATTTTTATAAAAATGATATAGGTAATACGAACTACCCTAAAGAAGACAAGAAAAAGTTTTAATTAACATTTTTTTCTTAGAAACCTCAGAGGATCTCCTTGCTCTTAGGTTTTAACGAGATGCTGGCATATTGGCTTTAGATCACAGGAGAATGTGTTTTAGAGCATCTCTGTGAGATTAAGCTTCCATACAAACGATGAACAGTTTGATACCATTACTGGTTCTGTCTCCCACCTTTCACTATGGTCTATAAAGAGAATGAATAAGGCCTAAAAAGCTATGTCAAACAGGGATTTCTAAACATCCTATCCTAATTCCCTAGGTTACATATTATCTAAGAAAATGCTACATACAAAAAAAAAAACACTTGTGAGTTCTCCACAGCTCTCAAACTGCAGTACAATACCAATTCTCTTCCAAACTTCAATATAATACAACAGAAGTTCATGTAGTTGTGGAAGATGTGTATTAAATAATCTTCTGCTAGAACTTCAGAACTACAATACTGTAATACCTTTTCTTTTTATCAACAGTTATGAGAAAATACTAAACCCAATCTTCCCATGGCACAGACCAAGAACTGTTTTGCCTCTGGTAACTATTTTACCCTTTCCTAAATAGCTAGCTCACATTAGTTTTTAGATTTCCTTGTAGGAAAAAGCTTTGTAGTTAAGTAAACAACTCTGAAGTCACAGAGCCCAAGTTAAAATCCCAGCTCAATCATGCAACCGTAAATATGTGGGGTCAGTTACCACAAGCTTCAGTATCCTTGGCAGCACACTATCACAACGGTACTGCAGTGCTATCACTGTGTAACAGACATAATTCTACAATAGCCTTTAGAATCTAAGGCCTTACTTTATAAATATAAGCTATTCTTATTACATCATTCAGTGGTTTCGCTTTTTGCTATAAGAGCCATATATCTGAGTTTAAAAAGGTCAGATAATGTGGAAAATGGTCAAGTGATTTGAACAGACATTTACCAAAAATGTTGGCCAAAACTACATCAAAATGTTTTTAACCTCAATGGTATTCACAAATGCATATAAAACCAAATGAGGAACATATGCACAGCCTAGAATGACTAAAATTAAAAAGGCTCACAACAATAAATATTGGCAAAGACCAGAGCAAAGGGCAACTCATATGGCACTAGTAGAAATATAAATCAATACAACTGTATTGATTTAAAATAGTTTGGGGGTTATTATCCATTCAAGTGGATGCTACACCCAATCTATGATGCAGCAACTTTATAGGTACACATCAGATCAAAATGCACAGACACATGCATCAAGACGGGCTACAAGGCTCAGAGCACCATTACTTGGAAAAGCCCCACAATGGAAATCTCTATTCTTAAAAGAAAGGATAAAAATCGTGGTACACTGTCGAATGAAACACACTCCAAGGAAAAGGAATGCTTTACATCTGTATACAACACGTAGATAATCTTACATCAAAGAACCTGATAAAAAGATTGTTTTAAGATTCCACTTATATGGAGATCAAAATTTTACAGAATTAGACTACAGTATGTAGAGATTCATGTTTATTTAGAAAAACCAGGTGCAAGAGTCCACTACAAAAGTCAAGACTAGCTGCTGGAGGAGAGGGCAGGAAGGAGAGGTAAGCTTCATAAGGTGCTGGCAGCAACAGCCGAGTGCATACTTCATAATGAATCTTCGCTTTGTGGGTATGTTTTGTTTACTTGCCATGCTAGATTTAACAATCAAAAGGTATTTAAACTGTGAAAGCTTGTTTAGAGATTTTAGAAGGGGAGAGCAGCTGCTTGTATACCCTTGACCAAGGAAAGTCCTCTATGGGGGAGGTTGTCCCCTTCAACTGGGCAGTGAAGTGAAGAAGGAAGGGGACATCCTCTAGCCAGCCAGATGAGCCAAATCAACCCTGGCGATTAGTGGGGTGATAGATGTCACAACCAGATCGCCCTCACACTCTCAAAAGGTATCTGAAACCAAAAAAACCTCAAACTTTAGAAGTCTTTAGAAAATAATTTGAAATCGGAAGTTACATTTTTCATATAGTCTCATATTCTTAGAGATTAAAAAAAAGAGAAATCACTTTGTTGTTGAACACATTTTAATGGGACAACTTGAAGTTTCAGTATTCATAAACTGGTGCTATATAAACATAAACGCAATCACCAAGACATTTCAAGTCAGAATGTGTGTGCAAAGCAAGAAAGGGAACTCGATGCTTTTCCTGCTCCCATCTTAGCAAGAAAAAGGCGGCTAGTTTGAACTTGGAGAAAGGTAAGCAGTCCTCTGTGGTCATGGTGGCAACAGCACCTCCAGACTTCTCCCTTATGCTGGGGACAACACATGCTCACAGCTAATTACCCACCAGTTTCCTCCCGATAGGACTCCAGCAATCGGCAGCTTTCCTTCATTTCACTCTGTCCCTTTCAGTCCAAGCTGGCAGCGTTTGTGCTGAGATGCTGACTGGGCATATCATACACCTTATCTCCTCAGCCAAAGGATGCTAGCTCTGCCTCCACAGCATGCCATCCAGACAGGCCAAGGGTTTCAGCTCAAATGCTGTTTCTGTTCTCTTAGCAATTCCTTCCTCAATTTTTCATTCCTCTCATTATAAGCACCAAAGAAAAATCAAGTTGTACCTTTCACACTTTGCTTGGAAATTTCCTCAGCTAAGTATCCAAGTTCATTGTTTACACATCCTAAGTGTCCAAGTCCATCATTTATATAGTCTCTTTCCTCCCAATAGTACAACACAATTCAGCCAAGCTCCATCTCTTTATATGAGGCTCACTTTTCTTCCAGCACCCAGTGAGTGTTCTCACGTCTGAGACTTCCCCAGAACTGCCAATAACATTTATACTTTCAGCAAAACCCGGGCCCTAATGCTCTATTATTCTCTGAAACAACTGCAGCTTTCCCTGCAGCTCCCCTCTCTTCCTCCTGTGCACTCACTAGAGCCGCCCTTAACATTCTCAGTTCTTTCAGCTCTCTTCGAGGCAATGTAAGCTTTCTCCACTAAGCACCTTAAACTTTCCAGTCTAACCACCATCCAATTCCAAAGTAAGTTTTGTTCCAGCAGCACCCTACTTTCCAGTACTAAAATCTGAATCAGACTTCTAGGGCTGCATGACAAAGTGCCAGAATCTGGGAAATTTACTACAACAGAAATTTATTTTTTGGTATTTCTAGAAGCCAGAAGCTCCAAAACAAGGTGTTAGGAGGCCATGCTCTTTCTCAAGAGTCTAGGGTTGTATCTTCCTAGCCTTCTGATAGCAGGTCATAATCTGTGGCTTTCCTCGGCTTGTACGTGCATCACTCTACTCTGCCTCCCATCATGCCCCTTTCTGTTGGCATGGTGTTATCTGTGCACCTGTATCCGATGAACCAGAAGCTACCCTAATGCAGTTCAACCTCATCTTCACTTGATTACATGTGCAATGACTCTCTTTCTAAAGGAGGACATATGCACCAGTACCAGAGACTGAGTCATAATCTTTGGGGGGGAGGGGCAGAACATTCTACTTATCATATAATAAATTCTAAAATAATCACAAGTTCCTCGAAAAAGACAACATGACCCATGACAGTAATTTTTGTGATCTGCAAAGGCTACAAAGCTGCTGGTCTTCAGACTTTCCCTGATAGTGTTGGTAGTTTACCTCATTTAACTCCCTTGCACATAACTTCATCCTTAATCATTTTCTAAACACAGCATCTTTCAGAATGAACTGACACATGCACGAATTTCTAACCTTCAGTGCTTCAGTAGCCTTGCGAAGCTCCTTAATGACCGACGATAAAGCTTCTGGGTTAATGCCTTGTTCACAAAGTCGAACACAAATAGACAAAGTTTCCATATCTAAGCCAGTATTCAAGATTTTTGAAATCTCAAGCAGAACTGAAAAAAAGATATTACAAAAAATTTTAAAAACTTACAATATTTAAAAATATGCACAAATGGTTTTCAGTTCATGTTCCCACAGAGTACCAAGAAACCAGAAGTGCATCTCAGGATTTGGAAATCAGCATGTAAGAGTCTTGATTTAAGTTTGAGAAACTGAAAAATAAACTTACAACCTCCCTTCACATAATCACCTTTATTCCTTAGGGTACCTTCCACCACTCATTGAGTATCAGAATTATTCTGAATACCTCCTTATTTTGTCACTCTTTGATAAAAACTTAATTAGTTGTGTAACATTCCAGTTCATGAAAATATCATGCTTTAAGGGTTAGATTGCTCTCATGTTTGTCCCACTAAAATATTTTTATAAACACCTACCTGGGGGCTCGGAATATAGCTCAGCAGTACAAGCACCTGCCTGGCAAGCACAAGGTCCCAAGTTCGATTCCCAGTATAAATAAATAAATAAATAAATAAATAAATAACCAACCAACCAACCAACCAAACACCTGTATACACTAGCTTAATTTTATTTCATTAGGATACATATCTAGAAGTAGAACTGCTTGGTCAGGAATATTTATATTTAAGACTTGTGGAGTCTTTACAAACTTTGACAGAATAATCATATTGTTGAATCTGATAAAAAATGAAAGCTAGCAGTTTTTAATTTCTTACAGTACTATATGTTATTGTAGTTTATAAAAGTATCTATCTTTGACACAAGAAGTGCTAGTGTAGAAGAGAACTTAGGTTACCAAAGTGATCTTCCAAGAATCCCTTCTATTGCAAGATGCAAATACAATGATTCTATTGAACTCTGTTTAACACTGTTTGTTTCCCAGAGTGTTTAGAATTTTTAAAGTCAATTATTAACATGTTATCCATTGTTTCCTGTATCATTTTCCCTTGCATTATGCTTACAAAGTTATTCCCCATGCAAAGAGTGTACTCACCAGCAGTCTTCCCCAGCACTTGAAGTTTATTCCCTCTCATTAAGTCCCTGGACTCCGGGTAAAAGGTAAGTTCTAACTTTTCCTCCTACAATAAGCCACTCCAGTACAATTCACTGAATGACTTAACCTTTATTCCTCAACCAAAATGGCACTTTTATCACACAGTTAAATTCCCATACAGATCTCTTGCATGTTTATCTTGTATCAAAGCCATATTTTTAATTAAAACTTAAATTACATGTAATAAATCAGATTCCTGTCATCTTTCATGTATATAAGCCCTCTTATTCTTTGGGCAAACTAACTTTTTCATCAATTCCAGTAGCATATTCCACTGGGATTCTTATTTGAATTTTGTGAAAATACATAGTACTTTGGGAAGAATGGACAATTTACCAGTATCATGGTATTCAAGATGTTTGTGAAATGGGTCCTTTCCATTTTTTAAAATCAGATACTCACTTTTATCTCTAGAAATTTGAGTTTTGTGCCTTCATGTCTCCATCAAACTTTTGATACAGTTCTGCGGTGCTCATCTGATTCTAGCATCTGTCATATTTGTGTTAATTCATTGCATTTTCCCATCAAAGGCCCTCTTTTCCTACTTTATGTATCTTGTAATCCTCAAAGATGCCAAACATTGCCAATTTTTCTTTGTTGGGTGAATACTTTTTGTATTTCTACAAATATTTCTGAGTCTTGCCTGGGCATGCTCATAAGGAAACTGATTGATGAGGTCCTGTCAAACTTTTTGGCAGAACCAGAGATGCTGCTTAGTGCTGGGCTGATTATTCCCCCACTGCTGCAGCAACAGTCTTCCAAGCTCCATACTCTAGTGTTTCTGCAACTGTCTTCTACTCTCCCAGGCAGACTGCCACTATCCTGAGCCCTGGGTGGGCATGGTGTACTAGTATTCCCCTTACCTTTGGATGGTTCTGCTCAACACTCAAGGAGGATTCTCCAGAATTCAGTCTATGCAAGTTCTCTGCTCCCTCTCAGGTATCTTGTCCTGCAAACCCTACCTGTGCTGGTCGCCCTGTCCCTCAAGCTTCCTTCTGTCCAACTCAGGTGCTGTACTGAAGCCTGGGAACTCTCTAAAGGCAGAGGGCTGGTTCAACAAAGGACTAACTTGATCCTGTCTCTAAGATCACTGTCCTTCCGCGCCCAACATCCAGTGTCCTAACAATCTCTGCAATGTATGTTTAACCCAGGTTTTGTTTTTTAAAGGAGGGGTAAACCTGGTTCACTGGCTGAACATTATGCATTGGCTGAAAACTGAGTGCCCATCTCATTTTCATTTCTTTAGTTTGTTTTTTTTGTTTGTTTTTGTTTTCTGGTACCGGGAATCGAACTCACGACCTTGCGCTTGCCAGGCAGGCACTGCATTTCTTTAGTTTGATAGTCCAATGTACTAAGGCTTTGCTCTTCAGTTGCATCCAGCCTATTACTCATGTTATTTGCCAAATTTACTTTTTAAGCTTTCCATTTTTCTCTATAATCACTTGATCTTGTTCATTAACTAAATGCCTATTTATACCCATTTATTGTTTTGTGGCTGTGCTTCCCAACTTTACCTATTTAAGGTTGTATTCTTAATGCTGTTTTTGAGGTTGGTCTCTTACATTTATTTCTGGAAGTTTAAACAAGCCACAACAGAGTGGTTATGAGTATGACTCAAGAGCCATATTATCAGGGTTCAAATTCTAGATTTATTACTGGGCAAATTAACCTCTGTGCTTTTCTTTCACCATTCTGAAAAAAATGGTACATGATTACAGGATTAGTGTAAAGAATAAAGGACACTCGGGATGGTGTTGGACACATGGTAGGGTTCAATATAAGGGTTAACTGTTACTATACTTTTTCATTTTCCATTTTAGTTGTTCATGTTCTCAGCACTTTGGTGCTTTGTGACTGTCTGTTGGAAACTCATCTTCTATGCCATTTCTCTGTGATGTCCTCGACTGTCAACATGTTCTTGGATATGGAGTCTCACCCTGGCTTCAGTCCTCCGAAGCAAGTCCTATAGCAGTCTCTTGGCTCTAGCCCCAGAAAACAAGGGCGATGCTTCTCAGTGTCTGGCAGAGGCAGATAGTATATTTCTGGCCCTGGGTCATGCAGACAGGGCAGCATGCTTCCTTGGGTTCTATTACCGATAACCCCTGCAGGCCCATCTGCTCCTTTCTTTTAGGCGAAGCCTCTCTCCTTTAATCAGTGGAGACCCCCTTTTCTTATTTTTGAGCACGGCTGTTCTGATAATTACATTTTCTTCTTCTTCTTCTTCTTTTTTGGGACCGGGAATTGAACTCATGACCTCAGGCTTGCCAGGCAAGCACTTATGCCACTAAGCTATATCCCCAGCCCTACATTTTCTTCTTATTTCCTATCACTTTTACCTGCTTGCAGTAGAAAGAAAGAGCAAGCTTTCAACTGACCACACTGATTTTTATTTTCTGTAACTATTTTTGACTACTTTCATAAATGGATTCTATTTCAGCTTTGTATATTTGAATGGCTACTCTTGGTAGATTGGATGTCATATATTTTTATTTTATAGCCACCCACCATAACAAATTCTGATACATTTAACAATTTTTCAATGAATCTCTTGTATTTTGTAGTCAGATAATCTCTGAATTTATGCTGTCTCCTTAAAAAAAAACTTGACACCATAATGTTAAATGAAATAAGTCACAAACAACCTTCAATATTGTATGGTTTCCCTTCTGTAAGAAACCTAAACTATAAATAGAGAGCAAACTAAGAAATAGATAATAGGAAGTGGGAAGACAGAGCTTTCTCAAACGGGAAAGGAGACAGAGGGGATGAAAAAGGAATGAAGGTGAGTTATGTACGCGTACCAACTCCACACAGAGTGTGAACATTATGCACTGCATACACGTACTAACAGAAACATAAATAAAATTCTTTTCTTATCCTATGCTATTTGCCAAATTCTTAAAATCAGTATGGTATTTTTAAAAAAATCAATTGAAGTGGGTGTTTCTAATTCTATTTGGAACACATTTAACAGCATTAAAAGTGACATTGGTTCCATATGGTTGTCTTTAATTAAAAGCATGCTTAAAATGAATTTTTTTCTTTTGTTAAGACTTAAAAAGAAAAGGAAAAAATGTTGAGTCTTACTAACAGCTTTTCATCAATCATTGAAATAAGCAGCTCTTCCCATTTGACCTAGTGCGGTTAATAAATTACACTGACAGACTTCCTAACTGCAGCTGAGGAACACTGAGCTTAGGAGAGTCTTATTTTTCATTAGGCAAGCTTCATTTTATCCGTCCTCACTGCCGCTCCTTATAAACAGTCTACGAAGCAGCCCAAGGAAACAGCACTGCATCAATGGCCTGGTGTTCTTGGCTTACGGCTCAAGACTGCAAATCCATGTAGACCCCACCCCCCAGCCCCCGTGGACTCAATCTCCCTACAGTGACACTGCACTGAGCTCCAAGCAAGGCTGAAACAGGCAATGGTGCTCCTCTGGCTCTCTTGAGAGTCCCTAGGAACCCAGCCACTGTGTGAGGAAACTCTACTTTCAGACAACAGCCCTCCGGAGGGGCCAGCTGACAGCAGCACAATCTAGCAAAGTGAAGAGGCTTTGTGATAGCTCCACTGTCTATCTGGAAAGTGAGCGACAGCTACCAAGAGGAGTCTGCTCAATACCTGTAACTGTGAGAGAGAAGTCATCCTTGATTATGCCACTAAATCTGGAGCGGCCAGTTAGGCAGCAACAGGTACACAGAACATATAGCACTTAGACCCATCACCACTAACTTTCTGTCAGTTTCCTCTCTCCCCAGTCTGTGCTCTTCAGGGTAGACCCCCACCTATGAATGCTGAGCTTACTCTTTCTTTCTTTCCTTTTAGGTGGTACCAGGGATTAAGCCCAAGGCCTTCAATTGAGCTACATCCCCCGCACTTTTATTACTGTTGTTGCAGTACTTTACTTTTTAAAATTTTTTGAGACTGCGCATCACAGAGTTGGTAAATTGCTTAGACTGGGTTCAAACTTGTGATCCTCCTGCATCAGCCTCCCAGAGTACTAGGATTACAGGTATGCATCCCCTCACCCAGTTTATTCTTGCCTTCAGACTTTTGTTCATGCTTTCCTCCTCCGCTTTTTCCTTTCCCTTAGTATAAGTCCATGCTGCCTTTTGGATCCATCTCAGCTCTAATATTTCTTTCTTTAAGCTTTTTAAAAAAAATTGATATTGACCTTTACTTCCCATCTTTACAAACTGTAATCAATAACTATTTCCTCAAAGCCTATTGTGTAACTGATACTTATACACATTTTGTGCCTATTATACTACTGCTGGGAAGATAACTGTAGATAAGACAGGTAAGTTCCAGATCTCAGACATTAGAGTCTAGGAGGGCGATATTAAAGTAACTGGTTGCTATGGTTTAAAGGTGTGCAATAAAGTTCTCCTGTTAGAAACTTCATCCCCAATGCATTTAACAGGTGATTAGGCCAGGACAGCTCTGCCTTCAGGAATGGAGTCATGCCAGTATCTTGGGAGAGATGGGTGGTTTCCTGATACAAGAATGCATGTGGTCCCTTTCCACTCCTTTCCTTAAGCACATGGACTGTTGCCTTCACCTTCCTCCAGGAGATGCTGCAGCAAGAAGCCCTGGACAGTTACAGGAGTCTCAACTCTGGACTTCCCAGCTGCCAGAACTATGAAAATTAAATCTGTTCCTTATAAATTACTCACTATCATATATTCAGTCATAGCAGCACAAAACAGACTAAGACTGATTCCAGTTTTAAGTAAAATAAAGGAAAAGAACAGCATACTTCTGAAACAAATTAGAAGGGCATCTTACCAGGTTGGGAAGGACAGTGTTTGAAACCTTAGGCCTTAAAGCAATCAACCAGAAGCGAGAGGAGTGAAGAATGATCACAAAGAACCCAGGTTGTGCAATGGGTCCCAGACTGGAGGAAACTTGGTAAATTCACAGACCTGAACAGCTTGTGTGAAGGCAGTATTATCAAGGGAGTGAGGGGGTATAAAACAAGAGATAAGGGGGACGTGTAAATCCTTAAGTCTACTAAAGATCTAGAACTCTGGGAAGACTTGGAAGCTATAAAATGGGAGTGTAAAAAGCTCAGATTAGCATTTAAAGAGACTGGCAGAATATGGAATGGATTTTGAAAAGGGGTGTAGCATGTGTCATATGGGGCCCAGTTACTGCAGTTTGGGTGCTAGACCAAGGGATGGCACAGACAAGAAAGATGAAGACAAACGATCAAATCTCAGATGAGTGAAGAATGGGTACGGGGAGATGTGAGAAAACCAGACTGAGTCCCAGGTTTCTTAAGTGAGTGGACTGTTGACAGTAGCATGGAATATCCATTTGTTTCACTGGAACTGCTTTACAATGCAGTTCAAATGGCTCTCCGCTCTATCATGCGTTTATACGCTTACATCTGATATATAAAGTATATATACTTTGTTGCCTCTAATAAGGAATATGTAGCTGTCAAAAGTAGAAGTACTAGTAATAAAACTAAAATTAGACGAATTATATTACTAAAATTAGATGAATTAAATTATAAGAAAATTTCTAGAGCGAAAGAAAACAAAAATTAAAGTATGCAGCTAGCAAAAGACAGATTTCAAAATGTCGAAAAGCAAGAGGCAACTAGGTTAGAGGAAAGGGTAACTGAAATGGCCTATTTTCAGAGGAAAAGTTGGAAGACAGCATTGAGGATCTAAGGATGAAAACAGAGGATCTTATGCAATAGATCTTACCTTATATCAGGGATGGGATATGTAAGGTTCCTTTCAGAGTAGGTATGCAAATGGAAAGACAAAGCCTACCTGCTTCCTCCCATGTGTGAAGTATCTATAACAAAATCCTTTCATTTCACGATTAAAATAAGGTTTTACAAGTCAGGTCGCAACTGTTCCAAGCCACTGGCATTCGTTAAAAGTTCAAATCACTGATAGTTAATACTGAGGGCCAGGCAGAAACAGGCGGCTACTGAGAAGAGAAATGGGACTCAAAAATTTGTCATGGTGCCTCTCTTAGATTGATTTAAATACAATAAACACCAACATATGCTTCTTCAGTTAAAAAAAAAAAAACTCGTCTTCAATTTTTCATGTTTTTATACTCTACATTCACACCAGTTCTCTCAAAAAATACTTTTTTTTTTGGTCTTTTTTGAGACAGGGTCCCGATATGCAGTTCAGGCTGGCTTGAGCTCACTTTGTAGCCCAGGCTGGCCTCGAACTCACAAAGATCCTCCTGCCTCAGCCTCCCAAGTGCTGGGGTTACAGGCGTGGGCCACCACACCCAGCTAGATTACATGGATAAATGTTCTTTATGTGCATATACCCATTTACAAAATAAAACAAATGAGCCCTGAGATATCAAGAAGGATGGAGAAACAGGCTAGATACTATCCTACATTCTCAGAAAAACAGCAAAGTAGATACTGATTCGGTATAAAGTTTAGATGCAAAAGCTCAAACATCATCTGTAATTGCTGAAAGGAAAGCAGCAGCCAGTACAGAAGAGTCCAGGAGACCTATCAGAAGCTCCTATCTAGAGAAGGCTCAGAGGAGGAGACCCAGGGCAGCAGGCTGACACTGCTTAGTGAGAATTCCACAGGGTTATCTTTCTTGGGATAGAAGGCGACGTGGGAAACCCCAGGTAAACGTCATCGTGAACCGCAAGTGGCAATATTTAACATCTCTCAAACTTAAACAGACGGGTATAAGTCAAACGGACACAAGGACAAATGTCTTGTGTCTGCAAGGGGGAGGGCAAATGATGGCTGTCTTATTTAAGTGTTCACAAAAACCCTGAGAGGTGGGGTTTTACACAGCGGGGGCAGGGTATCATGCAACACGCTTAAGTAAGTGGCTCGTCCGAGCTCAGCCGCAGATGAAGACTCAGGGCCGACGTCAGAAAGCAGAGTTAAGGGAAGCCCTAGATACTCTACCTGTCCCGGGGCGCGAAAACAGACAACGCCCCTAACAGCCGCGCACCGGCGCCACCAGTTCCAAAGGAAACCGGGGCAACTGTGACCACGGCCGACCAGGCCACTGTCCGGGACTTCAACACCACCTGCCGAGGGCCCGCGGCGGCGGACACGGTG